GGTACGGCAGCTGTTATATCATTTTTACGAGAGAATTGTCAAGGTGTGTATATTAATGTGGTTCAAATTATTTTGCCTTATTTATTACATTTGCTAGTAGCATACATGGTTACTAAATCCCTATTTAATATTATCAGTACCACCACCTCCAATGGAAAGGGACTGGATAACGTTAGAGAATGAACCCGCTGGTGGAGATCGTGGTATGTCCCCAGTAACCGGACATTGGTTGTCCACCATGGTAAAGAAATGGTGACCAAAGTCACAAATGGTATACCATACTCTATTCTCATTATGGTGTTTTTATTGGATTGATTTGTTTTTCTATATCAAATAGATACTTTTACGCTCCTTTGCTATAATATCCTATGTGAAAAATACGCCACTACTCAATTATATGGTTATACTCCTTCATGGGCCCTTTCGTGGGAGTATCGAAAAGATCGGATCAGGCGTGAAGTGTTGAGGTATAACGCGGACATCATGTGCCTTCAAGTGAGTTAATATAATGTTTCACGCAGTTTATTCATTGTGGCGGCTTATACTGAAAATTTGCTTATGCTGAAATTTGAGTCCCTGTCTAAATTTCTAATATCTACTAAATTCATATATACTCTTTTATTAATAATATTATTTATAAAAAAAAAAAAAAAAAAAAAACAAAGGCCCAAAAAATTTTAATATTAAAATAGGTCAAAATTCGGCACAAACTGATTTTACATAAGCTGCCATATTTCATTTATTTATTTTGTTTCTTTTTTTGTTCATATCTTATTTAATTCTTATAGGAGGTTGATACTTCACAATATGAGGAATATTTCAAGGATGTATATAGTAAGCTTGGAGACTATGACAGCGTGTATTGGCCAAAATCGCGTGCAAAGACAATGACTGACGTGGAAAGGAAATCTGTTGATGGATGCGCAACATTTTTTAAGTCTTCAAAGTATTTTATTATTTCAAAACTTATTTTTTCTGCCACTAGCAAATTTGAAAATTGCACTAATCGAGTATGATAAATTATCGTTACAGATATAAATTAATCGATAAACAATTGATCGAGTTCAATCAAGTTGCGTTACAGCGGCCTGATATAAAAAAAACGGAAGACATGTTCAATCGTGTTATTACCAAAGACAATATTGCAGTTGTAACATTGCTTGAGAATAAGGATAATTTTTCACGCCTTATTATTGTAAACTGCCATATTCATTGGGATCCTTCATATGCGGATGTCAAACTTGTTCAAGTGGCAATGCTAATGGATGAATTAGACAAACTTGCCCAAAAATGGTGTGATATACCTAGCAAGTCAATTTATAATTACAGTTCCCCACAAAAAATATCAACTATCATTTGTGGGGATTTCAATTCTACACCTGATTCTGGAGTGTATGAATTTCTTTCGCGTGGCACCATAAAACAAGATCATTGCGATTTTGGTGATCATATTTATGGCTCTTATGTATCGGAGGGTTTGCAACATAGGCTTTCACTAAAGTCTGCATATTCCAATATTGAGGAGTTACCATTTACCAATTTCACGCCTAGGTTTGCTGGGGTCATTGATTACATTTGGTATTCTACTAATACATTATGTGTCACCGGTCTTTTGGGTGGTGTAGACAAGGAATACATGTCAAAAATGGTTGGATTTCCGAATGCACATTTCCCATCCGAGTGAGTATTTCAAGTATCAAATTTTTTTGATTTTTTTTTTTTTTTGAAATTGTTCTTAGTAATAATTTATATATGTTTTCTTTAGTCATATTGTAATCCTTGCCGAATTCCGTGTAAAACCTCCACAACAAATACAACCGCCACCTCAATTCAGTGGTTTATCAAGCGGCAGTAATAGCAATAGTTCGCAACGGAGACTTAATACTCAATTAGGTTCTAAGAAATAGTGGATTTATATAATAGGGAGTTTTATATAAAAAATTTTTGGACAATGTCAAATATTAGGGTGATGTAACTATCCTGTAGATGTTAGATACGGCTGTGATGATGGACTATCGTTTAGGAATATCATTATGTAATAGATTATTCATTTTTTCCTTTTGGACAACTTGAGGTAGATTATTTTTATTGTGGTTGAAAGTTAGTAACTTTTTTGCCACACAAAATCTTTCATTCCTTTTATTCCTTTTATTATGTAAATAACACCGGTACTTTAAATTTGGTGAATAAGGATTCAATTTTGTGATACTGAGAATTTTGGTATTCATTACATACAGATGACATTTTTTTATCCCTCAGACTTAATTTTTTTTCACTTGTAAGAATAAAATTTTTCTATTATCGTTTTCTTTTTTTATCATAAAACTTTTTCTTTAAACGATAATAATGATGTGTAAATAAGACCTGATAAGAAATAACTGATCTTTTAGATTTTTATCAATTCATTTTCTTTAATATAATTATTATATAATAGTGTTTATATAACACTTGACAGCAAACTAATCAAACCTTAATTTTCCACTGAATTGGCATGCTTCATTCGATTCTCTTCCATAAATTTTTCTTTCTCTTTTTTTAACATTTGATATTCTGCTTCCTTATTGATAATTTCATTACGAAGATTTATGATGTTAATCATACCTGAAAGACCTAAATTAAGATTCAAAATAAGTGATAATGTTCATTAAATTATATCATATTAATTATGGTTATAGATTTACTTTGCTTAAAATGCCTTTGTGACTCTCTTAAGGATGATGGAACCAAAATACCAAACCAACGCAATGGATCATCAATAATACGGCCTTGTGATCGTTTCTTTGTTGAATCATTTTCGGGGTTCTTTATCGCACGTCGGCGAAGGGAAGAAGAATCGTTATCTTCATTGTTATCCGAGATTTCTTCAAGACTAGTCAAAGTGTACTGACAAATAAATTCATTTGGTGTATTAAGCATATTGGTATCTTTTTTTTGAGAAATCAACCTGTCGTGACATACGAATCAACATTTTGTTTAAATGAACAAATTATATAATAGATAGAGCAGAAAAACTAACACTCGAGTAGTAGCTTGCATCCTTCCATCATATTGGTTTTGATTTAACCTATGAGGACCCATAGTATATTTTGCGTGAGCTAGTTGAAAAAAACCCTAAAGAGCTTATTTTCGTAAGTTTGATAATATTCAACGGCCTGCGTTATTATTTCGTAAGCCTTTCTTTACTTACACCCCCCAAATTTGTACTAATTTGTTTCCATTGTTCTTGTAATGCTGAGATTAAGCTTAAATATTCTAATAAAATTTGGTCCATTTTTACACAAATTTCTTCCATAATCTAAAATCAGCGTTGGGTAATTGAAATATATTCTTTCTATTTTACTATACAATACTATATTATACTATACATACCCGTCTAATTTTTTATCATATGATTTTCATAAATTACACAATGGGAAAACTATGGGCTAGGGGATTTGCATAATTTCAAGAAACTCGCCACTCTATACCAATATGTTTATTGTAATTATGCAGGCAAAATTTGCTTGCAATCAGCTACATAATTAAAATATAATTTTTTTTTAAAAAAAATTAGCTTTAGTATAAAATTTTGGTTATAACAAAATTTTGGGTTAAAACCTTTTTGCTAAAGTAATTTACTCTAATATTTACATCTAAACTAATAAATTAATTTATTTTTTTAAAATTTTTTTTTTTATACTAAGCAATTATTATCTGTTAGTTATTTCAAATAACTTTATTTCAAACAAAAGCCAATAATTCAACCTACTGTAGAACAGGGTGAAACCTGAGTTGCTTATGTTTTTTATTATATAAAAGCGGATTTCACCGATCATAGCAGGTTTCACTAATTCACAACTCAGGTTCACCCTGTAATATAATATTTATTATCAAGTTGTTGATTAAAAATCTTGAAAATTACTACTGTTCTAAAATAAAAAATCAGATGCATATGTGTTTATAAAGTTGGCAATTTGAAGAAAATTCAAATTGCTAAGATTGATTATAGACCTAGTAATTTTTGTGCACTTTCTTATAAATATTTTCAGTACTTTCCAATAACTATTAATTATCTTGTATATCGATTTGGCATTTTAAAGAATGCATTTTTCTGGCTAATAAAGTTGTGCCACTTGGGCTGAAAAAATTTTTAGAATTGGGTAATCTGCCAATTAGTCTTGCCAATTAATAAAACAATTAGTATTGTTAAGGCCACCAGATTTCAATCCAATTCCTTTGCTAGTGATAAAGGATGTAATTGTAATGGAGATTGCCTTACTGCAAAGTGTTCTTGTAAAAAAGCAAATGCTTTATGTAGGAGTGAATGCTATTCCAAAAACTCTAAATATAAGCATAAAGCTTTAGAGTTTGGGAAACTAATATAAAAATCAAAAATTAAAATTGTAGAAGAAAAGAAGTTTTTATTTTACAAGTTTATTTTACTGCATTTTAATTTTTTTTTTTTTTTTTTTTTTTGGCTTTTCATCCTTCCTAACTTTAAATCGTTAACTTTTAGCAGTACAAGTCACTCCTTTTATTATAGTAATAATAATTCTGTTCTAAAAAAATTCTTCACTATATCGAGAGTTCACTATAACGAGAGTGACTTGTGTATTACGGATAATACATATGAGAGGTATTTAGGTGGGATATAAATGTTGTACAGTACGTTGAAATAGGTAAATTGAATTGAATTAAATATATGATGGTTGAAATTTTTAAATCGAAGTAGACGTTTAGAGAATTTTGAATCTATATTTTTACGCCAGGAATTTCATATTAGAAAAAGACCTTTAGTCGAATGTTTAATTATCTTCAATAGTTCTTCAATCCGTATAAGAATTCTAAATTTGGTCTGAATTGGGCGGATTCCCATCCGGGGTACGACATATACATACGTATTAATTTTTTTTTTTTAGTTTTAATTGAAATTCGGTATACTATAATATATATAGTACGTCTAAATTCGTTGCTTAAAATATAATATTCTACGTAATATTTCAAAATCCTAAAATGGAATAGCCTTCTTGGCTCAGTTGGCAGAGCGTCTGCCTAGTATTACGTTGTAAGCAGAAGGTCAGCGGTTCGATTCCGCTAGAAGGCATATCTAATAATTTTCTTTTTTTTTTCTTCGTGAATCCATACATAAAACTCAATTGCATCCCAGTAACTATATAAATGCTAAATAGTAAAATTTAAAAATTTCTAACATTGGTATTTTTTGAATTAAAAATCTCAGAACATTAGTAATTCTTTCATCGTATTCTTTTAATCGTTTTTCAAATCTTTCATGAAAAATTTGGAATTCGTTTTCTGTTAACATTGGAGGCATCTATTTAAATAAAAGACAATACATGAATAAAATTATAATTAAACAAAATTTTTATTAAAGTATTTATCTTGTTCATTTTTAAATTTAATGAGTTCAATGATGTTTGTAAGCTTGCTATATTTTCAGCAAGAAACAACCCTTTGTTATAACTTTGCGTTAGTTTTCTTTTAATGTAGAACATTCTTCGTAAATTTTATTTGATTTTGCTTCTTAAGATTTGCCATATATATTTTTGATCTTGAATTTTTTTTTGTCTTTGTTCATCATAATTTGGGCATTGGTAGTAAGATTAGCAATGTTATGATTATTATTATGGGAATTATCTGCCTCTTTTGTATTGTTGAACGTAGTTATTAATTATTACCAAATACTATATTATAAGCTAATTCCATTGGCTCCATTGTTTTCAATGGAGTATATCCATTGCTAACCCTGATTGAACGATAAGATTTGATGATCCGAAAATTCGAGTCGGATCAGATTCGGATTCTAATCCTATCACAACCGTAAAAGTCGGTTGGGGTCAAAAATTTCGGATTGGGCCTATAAAAATGATAAGACCGTAAAAATTCGGATTGGACTCGGATTCAAGCCGAATTTCGGATCCAGATTCACTCCTGGAAATATAAATTGCACAATTCAGTTAATTCATCATCTACAGAAAACTTGACCCTAAGCCTGATGTGCCCCAAAACAACGATTTATCATCGACAAATGAATTGAGATGATGACTTTATGGTTGATGGTGAATTATGATTTGCAGACGGAATTCTGACAAAACAACGAAGACGCTGACCCCAAGCTATAAATATCAACTAGTAATAAAATGGCGACATTTCATAGGGCTGGAGCCTTACTTATTAGGTGCTTAAATTTGAAAATAAAATTCTTACAGTGATCTATTACTGAGTGTTAGAATATACATTATTAATACCATAAAAAGGCATAAACTCCGAGTTAATAATTTATAATGAATGTAATCTTTTCTCTTCAGTTAATATTTCAATTCTTATATCTATTATAAGAAAGAGTACTGTTGAAAAGCACGGACTCTTGATACTGTTACGAATGTAAGGCTTATAGCAAATTCCTTATCGCCAATGTCTAAGACAGTTCGTGATAATGTTAAACCTTGACCAAGCAAGGCGCAATGGAAATTGCATATGAGAAAAATTCCTGATTTTCCTACCCTCCGGATTTTCCTTCCAATTTATATGAATTGTAATGTAGACAACATTGGACATGTATTTTGAGTAATATTGATGTAGACAATATGGGTGGCATCTTTCAAGTTTGTATATAATATCAACAATTGCGCCCATTGCGTCCTTGACCAATTCGTAATTGGTCCAAATATTGGAGTAAGCATTATACGAACTCAAATTAATAAAAATTAAAAACTGGTTGAAGACCGTTCGTTATATCAGAAGGTGCTTTTCTAATATCTGGACTAGTATGTACAGTTTCTATCTTGGCAACAGGTAAATTGAGTTGTCTTGGTTTTGTCATATTATATTCTGAACTTCTTCCCAGCATAATATTACGAAAATTCTCCTTACATAGGGAAGAATTGAATTTAAGTGCAACTACATTACGAAATTTCTTTAAAAAAGATTATGATCGTCATTAGAAAGCTGGCATGCTAGTTAAAAACCCTTAATGTTAGTTAATAAGCAATTATACATTTATAATTTGTGACTTTGTGAACATATAACTCAATATTACGTTCACCACTTGGGTTCATGTTCTCTTTTACATTGATGTTTGCACCGATCTTGTCTTTTTGCTGGCTCATTATTTCATAACTTAATTATTCTTCAGGTATCATAGAAGCCAATCTTTTCTTTCGAGCATCATTTCTCACAGCTCTTTGTTCGGATGTATAATTCTTCAATTCTTTTTTTTTTGCATTTTACGCAGAAGACTTCAATACTGTAATAAATTACCAATCATATAGATTATTTATTTATTTGTCATTATAATTTTATTATTCATAGTAGTTGATGTTATTGATTAATAAAAATTGAAATATATACAGGGGTCGACAAAATCAGTATCATCGTTATTACTGGGGCGGGCCAAAATTCCATAGAGTATGGCTCAAAGGTCTTCCACTCCGCTCCCCTCCGCTCCAGCCCAAATACCTCGACTTATTGCACGGGTCTTATATGACAACCCGTGCTTTTTTCATTTACTTATTGGCACGGGATTGTTACGTCAGACACCGTGCAATAAAATAGTTATTATATGGGTGTTGAATAACCCATTACACACACGGGTTCATATTTAAATCCCGTGCCTTCGGCATGGAATATAAACCCGTGTGTACTGGGTTATTCACTACAAACCCATACAATAACTATAAAGTATTTAATTATTATAGAGGCCTAACGGTGCGCCTTACTACCAGTCTGCAATAACAACTAAGGGTAAGGTTTAGATAGAAATTCCAAAACGTGAGAAACGCGTAAAAATAGCCACTTGACGCGAAAATTGGATTGGATCATCATAACTCATTCAGGAAGAACACCGAATTTCCGGTTCTGAGCGCATCGGAATCCTGGTCGGCTGGATCTGAATTGATCAAGATCATTTAATTATTCATTAAGTAAAAAATGCCCAGCTGATAATTTGCTACTAGGGCTAAATGGCGGCCTAGATCCGACACATCTCGACACATATACACCACATATGTCATCTAACTTTAAACGAATTGTCTGTTATGAAAACGATTTATTATTAAACGAAACCGAATCCATATTCAAATGCTACAACTTTCACTTTATACATAGTAGAAATAATCTGACAACAGACAATTAATCCAGAAGTTAGTGATGGGGTAAATGAGCAAGGTAAATTGTAGCTTTGCCAATAAATGTTATTATGTGCTTTTTAAACTTGTTAATTTAAAAAATAACATTTCAAACATTAATACTTTACATAGCTAGTTTTTTTTACTAATTTTTTTTTTTTTTGGATATCAGATATAGGTTATTCTTAAAGCTACAATATAAAGAGTTGCCAAGGGAAAACCAGAGTTTGGAATTTCAATTATATTTTGTATCCACGGTAAAGATATATTTGAAATTCCGAACCGTGGTTTTCTCGGGTTTCCTTTGGCAGCACTCATATATTTGTAAGAATATATGATTATCCACTATGTTTTATTCACAATCCACATAAGAATGATAGGATGTTATTAAATTACAAAAGTATAATTTACTATGTTTTTTATATAAGGATGAAGTCTTTTTTAAGTTATACATTAAATTTAAAAACGAATAGTATTTTTTATTTTTTTTTTATATATACGAAAAATATAGTGTGTATCTTGAGTTTAAAACTATTCCAGAAGATATATTTGGCAAAACGAATATAAATATATAACAAAGTCTCAATTCTGAACACAATTTTTGAATTGATCTCGTGTTTGATGTTTGATTAAATTATTGGGATCTTCACTATGAAAGAATTCTAAATCATCCATACTTTTACGAATAAACTTATTTGTGTCTTTGCTTATAATCTCATGATCGAGATCCTTCTTTTTATTTATATTATTTATTCCTACCATAATTATTTAATTGGCTAATGTTTTTACAGAACATCTTAACTGGGAGAGTTCTATGAGGATCTCCTACCTCGTCAGTCGTCTCTCTATATAGTCACCTCCATCATATTTACGTTTACCCAAACTAGGATTTGCAAGAAAAAACCTCTATATAAGCACAACTCCTTTATAAGCCCATTTTTTAAAAAATCTACGTACTATGTGCCCCCAACTGTGTGTATATGGGAGGACGACTGTATTCGGATTTTTTTGATATTTTATTTAAAAGGCTTTACTTGTCTAAGATAAAATCACATGATCTTAATAAATAACGGGCACTTATTTACTGTTATCATGACTATCCGACATAATTATGGTGTATATTGCAATTTGGTTCAATAATTTTTATAGAACAGGGTGAAACCTGAGTTGCGAAATAGTGAAATCCGCTTTGTAGATCGGGTTAGGGTGAAATCTGCGTTTTATTATGTTTTTTATTATATAAAAGCGGATTTCACCCTCACGTGATGATCATAGCAGGTTTCACTATTTCACAACTCAGGTTTCACCCTGTCGTATTTTTATTGTAAAACAGCTGTAGAAAAAAATAAATAAATAAATACAGTAATTGATAAAAGACTGATCTATGCTATATTTTTACCTAGTTCAACTGAACATTATCCGGGTGGTTTTTTTTTTTAGATATCTATATATTTTTTTTACATATAAAAAGCCGGATTGCCGGGCAATTTTTTCAAATTTTATGTTATGAAAACCAAAAAATTAACTTTTGTATGGCCTTATAAATAGGGATTTATTAACATACAGTATCAGATATAGTTCTGATATCTGGATATAAAATACACGATTATAATAAAAAGATATATTACTATGAAAAGTGCAGACGACGTCGTAATAAGATTGTAACATAATTTTATTAACTCTAACGATTTAATAAAAAGAAAAAAAAAATATCTTTATATCGCTAATTGTAATCTGTGGCGCATTTTGTTAAGTTGCAACCAGCATATACATGAAAATATCTTAAAATAAAAGTATGTTTCTAAGCATGATTTCGAAGAGCTTAATCCCAAGATCGTAGTTCAAATCGAATTAGACCACGTAAACCACTAATTAATCGTAGCAACTTCTCCGAACCCTATTATTATACAAAAATAGTAAAATATATTATGATAGTTAATTATTATTCGATCAAAAAAAA